ACGCATTATCTACATACATCCACCACTGTATCAGCTATACAGTCAGGAAATGATAACGGAAAACCACATACCTAATGCTGAACCTTTCACAGGCTTTCGGTAACGGCCTCTCTTTTGTGAGTTATCACATATCTTTCCAACCTTCTCCTCTTCACCATCACTGTTGACAACGAGTGATAACAAGTTCATCTCTTTTAACTTTTCTTGGTAATCTTCATTGTCGAGAACCCCCTGTCCAGTTGATTTGACTTCATCCCAGGCATCCTTAAACTTGTCTTCAAGCCATCCGAGCTAAACATAAGAATACCGAGAACATTAACACCTGAACATGAGTAATGCAGTACAAGAGAGTGCATACCTTCTTGTTGCACTCCCTTGGTGATCGACCGGGCCGATCTTTCTGTTCCATATGATTGCTCAAGATAGCAGCTATAGCGATCTTGCTCGGAGTAGCATTTTTCCAACGACTGAAGTTATCCGGCTCAGCACACCACAAAGCGACGATGTCCATGTCGGAGTAGCCATCGGGTCCCTCCACAAACCACGACGATTGAATGGGCTTCACTTCCGTTACCGACTTCTTAGGTCGTCCGCGTCCTCTTTTTTCAGCGGGTGATTTGCTCATCGCGTTGATAGGCGTGACTGCAGTCACCTGAGATCCAATCGATGTGAACAAAGCGGGATTCAAGATCGAAGCTGGGGAGTTTGTTGGAAACGAAACCAAACCCTGAGGTGAATTCGCGATCAAAGATGCTGATGTAGCTGAGCTAGCCAAAGCCTGCCCCAATCTGATCAAGTCAGTTTGAGAGAGGGAAGTCGTGGGTGAACCTCGGAAGGCTGGGACAGTTGATCCCGGCGTGAAGTGACCAGATCCAGCGCTGAGAGAATCGGTTGGTGTATTGGTGAGTGGGACCGATATAGCTGGATACGGCTCTGTTGAATTGTTGGAGTTAAGAGGGGGATTTTTAGTCTTTGGTTTCTGTTTGCGTGGCATAGTGGCTTGATTGATCGAGAGGGGGATGTGGAGAAATTTTTTTTTCTCCACGTTCCCAGTACACCCAGTGTAAAAATTGACTGGGTGTACCGGGTCTTTGGGCAACCCGGTTTGGTTTGAACAGGGCTAATATTGAGTGTAAATTTGGACAAGTGTAAAAATCAACAGTCAGTAGGGTAAAGTAGAATTTTGCACTCAATCTGACCCAAATTCTGGAGTGCAAAAAAGTCATGTGTAAATCCATGAGTGTAAATTTGTAAATTACCGTGCCAAAGATTGACTTTTACACTGTAACTTTTACATACCTTATTGAGGGCAAATATTCTAGGGGGCAAAAATCTGTACAAGCCTCCAAATTCTAATTTTACTCTCAAAATAATTTACACTCAAAGTTGGACGTCAAGCCCTGGTATGTTTTTTTTCAAAAGGTCACCACCAAACTACAGATTTGCACGGCATCACGAGGCATCCAATAGGCACAGTATCTCTGCAGTATCCGACCGGCATCACTCTCTCACTCAATGCCCTTGCCTCTCTGTCAATACCCTTTCACTTTCACCCAAAAAACTCCTCCACCACTATCAATTTTATGACACCAACATCTGATATCAAGAAGCTCTTATCCAACCACCCTAGATTTGATGAAAGCCACAACACTCTGGATGCGATCTCAACAGCACTGACAATAACCATTCTCAGAAGAGCTTTTGTGCTGACACCTCATCTCGATCTCACAAGCAAGAACTTGTAGGTTTTTTCTCACCTCATTGACATCAATCAATTAATTCATTTTGCCTCAACTGTTGTTAATGAAAATAGTTCCTGATCTTCTTTTTGATCTTCACGACGCGAGTCCTCAATCGAGCTGCTACTCCAGTGTAGGGGATGTTTGAATCGAGTTGGACCCATTCGATGGATCTCTGAACTGAATTCTCCTCGGGAATCCACATCCAATCTGATTTTATCCTAACTTTTGATTGTCCATCAAACTATAACTTCAATCTAGATAAACAGCTCCTTCTCCTTGATTTCCATTTCGATTTCGATATCTTTCTCCAAAATCAGAGCTCCATTCAAAGAGATGATCGCGAAAAGTGTGAGACTCTTGTTCGCTCGATTTCGCTCATTCGCTCACCTTGCAAACCGATCCTCAACGCGTTTTTCGATTCTTATAGCTGATTTAACGACTTTGAGCATCAAATCATTCAACGGTCATCATCGTATAGACGGTCTTAAATGTTTGGAAGATCAGAGTAACAAGGCAAAGCAAGCCCTTTCATCAACTTGTAAGTGGTTTCTTTTCTCATCGATGACATAATTTTGGTGTGGCATTGAAGTCTATCCTCATTAGTGATTGGCAGGTTCCCCAGCCATTAATCACCATTGTGGTGATGGCATTTCCAAGTGTGATGAGCATTCAAACATTCGATCTCACACATTATCACAAGGAACCGTCAAAAAAGTGACTGTAAGCCTGGGCACCCTATTCCTGTATATCATACAAAACAAATTACTGAACTGTTTGAAATCTCAGCTCGCCTCCCACCTGATGGGTGTCCGGTATCATACTTATTGGAATCGTCTCCGACAAGCGATTCCGGTGGCGACTGCACTATCATTCCTCCTTTTTCTGTTTGCTAGCTATACCAAAAAAATACCGATGTTCATGATTGCAAGGGTAAGCTTGGAAGTCATCCTCTTTCTCCTCCCTCCCTTTATCTTGTTTCTTTTTATCTTGTGTTATGGGTTCAATGGTGGCCTTTGAGAAATGCAAACTTGAGTGGTGGGATCATTGCGCACTTGACAGGCAGTTACACAATGAGGTAGTTGAGAGCACAATAAACTTGAAACAAAGCCAAGGAAGTCAAAATTTTCACATGTTTTTGTTCAAGTTCAAAATTTGGTTCAAAGTTAGGTATTGTGTAAAATTCTATTTCTGGGGTGGATATTTAAAATTTGCACTCCAGCCACTTGCACTGCTTATTGTGTGTAAGGTGGTTGGAGTGTAAAAGTAGAATTTTGCCACCCAAAAGTGATTTTTGCCCTTGATGTTTTTACACTCTATATGAAGTGTAAGAATATCAAGTGTAAAAGTCAATCTTTGGCACAGTAAGTTACAAATTTACACTCATGGTTTTACACATGACTTTTTTGCACTCCAGGATTTGGGGTGGATTGGGTGTAAAATTCTACTTTACCCTACTGAATGTTCATTTTTACACTCGACCAACTTTACACTCAATAATGAGTGCAAAAACGTTGAGTGTAAAAATCTCTTAACCCATTAAAAATTTTACAGAATGTGATTTCTGGTCAGAAATCCCTTAAGTGAACGTGCCCTCAGCGTTTGTCCATCGATCCGAACTTTTCAAAGGAGCCTTTTGGTTTCTCTCTGGTCTGGAGACTCTCCTCAGACTGCTTTTCTATACGTGCTGGTCCTTTATGATTGTAAAGCTCAAGTTACAAATTGAGTCCAATTGTCAAAGACAGGACAAGGTTCTCTCAGGGGGAGAAGATGGGTTTAAGTCCCATCTTCTCTAGCCTAACATAAGGCCCAACCCCCGCAGATACGTCCCCCGGAGCCTGAGGAGGGGGGGCTTGTGACTTATCGGGCAAATTTGGCCTGATACCAATTTCACTTTGGCAGCAAACTTAACAAATTCCCTCGCGCCAAAGGCCCGAGGCTTGAGCGAGGGACTTACGGCTAATGTGAAATTTGAAGTGTGAGATCAGCCGGGGCATTTTGCCAAAACCACCTCCTCATTATGAAACCTTTTTTTGTAATTATCAATGCCTAAACTCCCCAAACAAAGATTCTGCGCACTGGTTCCCTACACAACATCCTGCTCTCCATTTCTCAATAGCTGAGACGGATCTTGAGATATTGCCAAAAGTCGCTCGGGTCTGAAAGCGGGGGCTAACAAAGCTTACAGGTTCCAGATTTGCTGCGCGTCAGAAACGCTTCATTTTGGCGTCCGGTTAAAACAAAACTTTAGAAATGCATTCTTACTCCTACTCGACTCAATCTCTAGCGGTTGAGCAGCGTAGCCTGAGATGTGGCACTTTGACTCCCTTGCAGCATGAAGGCGCGGTGTGAACTTTTGTCGATGTTGTGTCATGGGGTTGTTGGGATGATACGAGGTGATGAGTGAGTAAATTCGACCGAGCCAAACAACAGTTTTCTCATCTAGATTTCGAGGTTTTGGACCAGAAGCTCGATTTTTGTCCACCACAGTCGTGTACGGCCACGAGTGGCCAAACAGTTTTGGCCCCAAGCAACTTTTGGCTATATCTCAAGATCCGTCTCAGCTATTGAGAAATGGAGAGCAGGATGTTGTGTAGGGAACCAGTGCGCAGAATCTTTGTTTTGGGAGTTTAGGCATTGATAATTACAAAAAAAGGTTTCATAATGAGGAGGGCGTTTTGGCAAAATGCCCCGGCTGATCTCACACTTCAAATTTCACATTAGCCGTAAGTCCCTTGCTCAAGCCTCGGGCCTTTGGCGCGAGGGACTTTGTTAAGTTTGCTTTGGCAGGGACTATCTTTGGCCATCATTTGCTCCACCTTCCATCAAACAAACCCCTCAGAGTGCTCAAACAAACATTCTAGAGCTTTGTTTTGGCCCCTTTTGCTCTATTCATATTCTTTCCAATCTTCATAACATCCCTGGAAGTTATGTTTCTAATTTTTTTGTTTCTGGAAATATTACACAACATTCTGCTGCGACCACACATGTGTATCCACATGTGGGTATAATTTGTTTTTTCCAGAGTTTTATCTATCTCTCTCATTACCAGTTTTGTCTATGTTGGTGTAACCGCCTAACTGCCACCACAAGTTCTCAACAAAAATTTCCAAATAGGATTCTCGACATCCTGCGTGACGTTCAACCACCCACCTCATCTCATTCTGCTCATTTGTAATTTCAAACTTGTGTTTAGTCGTGTTTTCTTGGCTCAGTCTGGCTCCTTCACTCTTGCCTCATTGAACACTGTGGTACATAGACATGGACAGCGGCACCAACGGTCCAGATTCAAATCCAATCAATTTCAACCTTGATCCTTCTATCTTGCGAGCATCAACACCTCAAAGGCGGGTCCCACTGGTTGAACGGGTCTGCCAATATTTGGACAAGCAGAACTCCGACACAAAATCTTTTATCCTGGCGTACCTACACTCAACAAATGAAAAAATTGTCAGACAAAAGAAACAGTGGGCATCAGTTACAAAAGGGTGGAAATCTACAGAAGCAGTATTGGATGGAATTGCAGACCTGGTTAATCAGAAGCCAGAATGTCAAGCAAAATGGAATGATTGGGTTCTCAAAAAGGTATTTTGCACTCCTTCTTCACATTAGGAACCTTATGGACCAGATAACTGATACCTGAATACTGGATTAACAGGCCAAGATTATTGTAGCACAACAGTTGCCACCTCCAGGTAGCCTATACATCAATGTAAATAAGTTAGATACAACCTTTTTTGAACACGATAAAGCTGTTAAAAGAGAAGAAGATATAGTTCAAAGTATAAACTTTCTTCATCAGCTGATCACTTCTAAGCTCAAACATGAACACCAAGCTTGGAAGGTCAAGAGAAAACACCGTGCTGAGCAGACTGGTGTGGATGTGGATTCCAATGGTTCGGATTTGGATTCTGGTTTACAATCACCTTCCGAGACATCTGAAGATGATGAGGTAAAGGAATCACCTTCATCTTATGTTTATTGAAGATCAAGAGATAAAATTGAAAACATGAAGACTCGTTTGAAGGCAGTAAGTGCATGGCTATGTCCAGTATAGTGAAAACCTTCGTACACTGACCACTGCGTCCACCACACACGTTCTCGACGTCGAGAAGGGCAGAGACTCCTACTTTGTTTCAACTTTCTTCCAACTTTAGTTCGAGTTAGTTCCATTGCTGAGTATGCCACTCAGCAAAGACTGAGAGATGCTAGGAGCGACTGGTCAAGAGTTCATGAGCCTCAGGGATGATCCTCAGAGTCAGGAAGCAGCTTCATAGCCACCTTTGTATAATGATTATCAATGAAAGGAAATCAAAAGTAGAAGAACAAAGACAGAAACAAGACCGCTTAAGATTTGAAATCAGGTTCACTGATCAACGGTCAACAGATTCTACTCAACAACTCTCCATGGAGATTGCAGATCAACTCTTGATTGCTTGACTCTCTCTCGATTCATCTTCTATGACTGATGACCCAATAATGACCACCAGCTATGCATCTCTTCCCAATCAAAGTCCATTTGACTATCCTTGATCTTGTTGGGTTAGGACAATCAAAGAAAGATCCAAAGTTTTGGCTTCCAAGTCATCTTTAACAGAAAGGCTCCAGCTCATTGACCGAGAAAAAAATCTGATCATTAGTTACACTGGTCTATTTTTGATAGCTGAATCAAATCTCGACCCCTGAAACTGCCTCTTTGGTTCGTATCTGACGATTTGGCCATGTATCACTGATTTATGTAGCAAGTAGTGTCTCCAAAATGTGAACTTCAAAAGACCCTTCCTCCAGTTCCACTCCGTCGGTAATGATACGATGGCACTCAAAACTTGTTTTTGTTATCAGCTTCCCAATTAATCGTGATATGTATTTCTTTGTCATCAATAGTAACTCCACTCATTGTCCCTTTAATAATCGCCCCACTCATATAGACTCATATTCTTCATCTGGGACCCTCAGGCCTCAGGTCATTGAAGCCTAGCAATTGGATCGATAATCTTTTAGACTCAGAATGGATAGCCAGGGACCCCTCTCTGACCAAGAAAACTCCTTATTACTTTGATGAAACCACAGGAGATTTGATGAAAACAACTTGGTTGAATTCGGAAGAAAGCTTAGCCGAGATCTATGGTTGTCCAACTCGAGTTCTTCTTCCTAATCA